CAACCAGGGGTCTTGAAGACAACCAGGGGTCTTGAAGACAACCAGGAGCCTTGAAGACAACCAAGGGTCTTGAAGACTACCAGGGGTCTTGAAGACAACCAGGGGTCTTGAAGACTACCAGGGGTCTTGAAGACTACCAGGGGTCTTGAAGACAACCAGGGGTCTTGAAGACAACCAGGGGTCTTGAAGACTACCAGGGGTCTTGAAGACAACCAGGGGTCTTGAAGACAACCAGGGGTCTTGAAGACTAATTGGTAATCTCCCTTATATATGGTGGGAGGCAGTTGAACAGTTTTGGGCCCCTGACACTAATTGTGTCTCTGTGTACTCATGCACCCCTGCCTTTTATTTGGAAAATGTTGCATCTCCTGCCGAGTCTTGCTTTCATGGGCAGTGATTTTCGTGTGCAAGTTTGGGACTAGTCCCTCTAGGATTTTCCAAGTGTATACTATCATGTATTTTTCTCGCCAGCATTCCAAGGAGTACAAATCAAGGAACTTCAACTATTCCCAGTAATTTAGGTGCTTTATTGTACTTACACATGCAGTGAAAGTTCTCTGTACATTCTCCAGGCCAGCAATGTCGCCAGCCTTGAAAGAGGCTGTTAGTGTACAGCAATGGTATAAACCTTGGTAATAAATACCGACAAGTTGGTTTAGAAAGACACGTAAGCAAACACTATAACATATTTATTAGAAAACAGCAGGCGTCTACACTATCCCCTGTGGGTTCTGTCCCAAGAAATATGTAGGCGAGCCAGGCAGAGATCTTGCAGTCCGCCTGAATGAGCATCGAAATGCCTCTAACAGAGACGATGTAAGGTACGCCTGTGTCCTCCACAGAGACTCCACGGGGCATTTGATGAACTGGAACGAGGCTCAACTCGTTCTCACCGAACCAGACCTCAGATGCCGACGGTGCCTAGAAGCCTCACTAATCACCGTCACCGACACTATAGAACGCAACACTGGAAACTACAAAATTTCAAAAACATTGGCATACATGATACTTAAGCAGCACCAACCCAACAACACAGGAGTCACATGATTTCATCGTCTACCCGTCCTCATCATAGGCAGAGGTTGTTTTGATAAGGACCTGCCTCGCATGGGCCAGTAGGCCTTCTACAGTGTTCCTCCATTCTTATGTTCTTATGACATTCCTCAGGTCACGTGCGTCACATCTCACTCTCCGCCTATATATATAATGTCTTTCTACCTCTGTATGTTAGAAGTGATCAAGGTCCCAGGACCGAAACGTTTTCTAATAAATATGTTATAGTGTTTGCTTACGTGTCTTTCTAAACCAGTGTACAGCAATATTCCAGCCGAGAGAGAACAAGTGATTCAAAGAGAATCATCATGGGCTTGGCATCTCTAGTTTTGAAGGTTCTCATTATCCATCCTATCATTTTCCTAGCAGATGCGGCAGATACAACGTTGTGAGCTTTGAAAGTGAGATCCTTTGACATGATCACTCCCAGGTCCTTCATGATAGTTTTTTGCTCTGTTGTGTGGTTGGAATTTGTTTTGTACTCCGGTGCAGTTTTAATTTCCCCTTGTTTTCCATGTCAGAGTAATTGAGTATTTCTCTTCATTGAGCTTCATATTGTTTTCTACTGCCCATTTAACCCTTAAACTGTCCAAGCAGATCTATGTTCACATGAGTAGGGCTCCAAAAGTAGTTTTCCTTTTTTTTTTACTTATTTTCAAATATAACAAAAAAAAAAAGTAGATCATAGTTTTTTTTACACGTTTTCAAATGTAAAAAAAGAAAAGATGATCTGTTTTCTTTACATACTTTCAAATGTTGAAAAAACGTAGATTTACGTTTGGACAGTTTAAGGGTTAATGATTTGGTTAATGTCCACTTGGAGACACAGTGCTGTGGCTTACATCTCTGTCTGTGTCAGATATGAGGATGAGGAACAGGATGGGAGCCAGTACTGTGTCTTGTGGAACTGAGCTTTTCACTGTAGTCACCTCAGACTTTACTCTGTTTACTATTACTCTATGTTTTGTCTGTTAGGAAGTTAAAGACGCATCTACCAACTTTTCTTGTTATTCCTTTATGACACATTTTGTGTGTTATTACTCCATGGTCACACTTGTCGAAGGCTTTCACAAAGTCTATGTATATATCTCTCTTATGTTTGCCCTCCAGTGCATCCTAGACCATGTCATAGTGGTCCAGTAGTTGTGATGGGCAAGAATGACTATCCAAGACCATGTCATAGTGGTCCAGTAGTTGTGATGGGCAAGAATGACCATCCAAGACCATGTCATAGTGGTCCAGTAGTTGTGACGGGCAAGAATGACCATCCAAGACCATGTCATAGTGGTCCAGTAGTTGTGATGGGCAAGAATGACCATCCAAGACCATGTCATAGTGGTCCAGTAGTTGTGATGGGCAAGAATGACCATCCAAGACCATGTCATAGTGGTCCAGTAGTTGTGACGGGCAAGAATGACCATCCAAGACCATGTCATAGTGGTCCAGT